CCACGATTTTAATATAGCTTTATTTAATAACCTGTAACATCCATACCGTTCATTATATAATAATTACAAGTACATTTTTGGATTCCCCGAACGTTTTTAAGGAAAAAAGGTACTCTTTATTAAAAGTTCTAATACTAACCGTTCTTTAGATAAAAAGGATTTTGTGCTAAAGATACTGAAAATTAAAAGATTTCGGGTTATTTTCACTTTGCACCCAACAATATCTACTATACTGATTTTATGATAATTTTAAATGCATTTTTGAATTAATTGAGGTATTTTACACAAAAAAGTACTTTTAGTAAAAATTGCTAACATCTACCGTTCTTGAGATAAAAAATATTTTGTACTAAAAACATCAAAAAACACGAAATTTTAATATAGCTTTATTTAATAACCTGTAACATCTACACCGCTCATTATATAATAATTACAAGTACATTTTTGGATTCCTCGAACAGTTTTAAACAAAAAGGGACTCTGTATTAAAAGTTCTAATATTAACCGTTCTTTAGATAAAAAGGATTTTGTGCTAAAACTACTGAAAATTATAAGATTTCGGGTTATTTTCACTTTGCACCCAACAATATCTACTATACTGATTTTATGATAATTTTAAATGCATTTTTGAATTAATTGAGGTATTTTACACAAAAAAGTACTTTTAGTAAAAATTGCTAACATCTACCGTTCTTGAGATAAAAAATATTTTGTACTAAAAACATCAAAAACCACGAAATTTTAATATAGCTTTATTTAATAACCTGTAACATCTACACCGCTCATTATATAATAATTACAAGTATGTTTTTGGATTCCTCGAACAGTTTTAAAGAAAAAGGGACTCTTTATTAAAAGGTCTAACACTAACCGTTCTTGAGATAAAAAGGATTTTGTGCTAATGCTACTGAAAATTATAAGATTTCAGGTTATTTTCACTTTGCACCCAACAACATCTACTATACTAATTTTATGATAATTTTAAATGCATTTTTGAATTAATTGAGGTGTTTTGCACAAAAAAGTACTGTTAGTAAAAATTGCTAACATTTACCATTCTCGAGATAAAAAATATTTTGCACTAAAAAACATCAAAAACAACAAAATTTTATATCTTTATTTAAAAACCTATAACATCTACATCGATCATTATATAATAATTACAAGTACATTTTTGAATTTCTCGATCATTCTTAATTAAAAAAGGTACTCTTTATTAAAAGTTCTAATACTAACCGTTCTTGAGATAAAAAGGATTTTATGGTAAAGCTACCGAAAATGATAAGATTTTAGGTTATTTTCACTTTGCATCCAATAACATCTACCATATAGACTTCACGATAATTTTAATAACCTGTAACATCTACATCACTCATTTTGTAATAATTACAAGTACGTTTATGGATTCCTTGACAACATTTTAACATTTGAAATGTGCCTGACTAGGCACTACTAGCAGAAATCTAGACAATACTGTCCAAAGAGTAGATTCTGCTTGCAAAAGACTAAATCTACCAAATCTACCAAAAGATGTTGTATTGGCAGTATCACAGAAAGTTAGGCTCTACTAGTATAAATCGAGATATTGCTGTCCAAAGTCTAAATTCTGCGTGCAGAAGACTATATATTGCTTACAGAAGACTAGATACTACCGGCATAAGGCTGGATCTACCTAAAGATCNAGTAAAAATTGCTAACATTTACCGTTCTCGAGATAAAAAATATTTTGCACTAAAAAACATCAAAAACTACGAAATTTTTATATATCTTTATTTAATAACGTGTAAAATCTACACCGCTCATTATATAATAATCACAAGTACGTTTTTGGATTCCTCGAACATTTTTAAGGAAAAAAAGTACTCTTTATTAAAAGTTCTAATCCTAACCGTTCGTGAAATAAAAAGGATTTTGTGCTAAAGTTACTGAAAATTATAAGATTTTAGGTTATTTTCACTTTGCACCCAACAACATCTACTATACTAATTTTATGATAATTTTAAATATAATTTCGAATTAATTGAGGTGTTTTGCACAAAAAAGTACTTTTAGTAAAAATTGCTAACATTTACCGTTCTTGAGATAAAAAATATTTTGTACTAAAAACATCAAAAACCACGAAATTTTAATATAGCTTTATTTAATAACCTGTAACATCTACACCGCTCATTATATAATAATTACAAGTACATTTTTGGATTCCTCGAACATTTTTAAGGAAAAAAGTTACTCTTTATTAAAAGTTCTAGATCCAACCGTTCGTGAGATAAAAAGGATTTTCTTCTAAAGCTACCGAAAATTATAAGATTTCAGGTTAATTTCACTTTACACCCAACAACATCTACTATACTAATTTTATGATAATTTTAAATATAATTTCGTACTAATTGAGGTATTTTACATAAAAAAGTACTTTTAGTAAAAATTGCTAACATTTACCGTTCTCGAGATAAAAAATATTTTGCACTGAAAAACATCAAAAACTACGAAATTTTTATGTATCTTTATCTAATAACGTGTAAAATCTACACCGCTCATTATATAATAATCACAAGTACTTTTTTGGATTCCTCGAACATTTTTAAAGAGAAAAGGTACTCTTCATTAAAAGTTCTAATACTAACCGTTCTTGAGATAAAAAGGATTTTGTGCTAAAAGTACTGAAAATTATAAGATTTGAGGTTATTTTCACTTTGCACCCAACAACATCTACATTACTAATTTTATGATAATTTTAAATGTATTTCTGAATTAATTGAGGTGTTTTGCACAAAAAAGTAATTTTAGTAAAAATTGCTAACATTTACCGTTCTCGAGATAAAAAATGTTTTGCACTAAAAAACATCAAAAACCACAAAATTTTAATATATCTTTATTTAGTAACCTCTAACATCTACATCACTCATTATGTAATAATTACAAGTAAATTTTTGGATTCGTCGACAACATTTTAACATTTGAAATGTGCCTGACTAGGTACTACTAGCAAAAATCTGAATAATACTGTCCAAAGGGTAGATTCTGCTTGCAGAAGACTAAATACTGCTTGCAGAACAATAGATACTGTTTGGAGAGACTTCTATTAGCAGTCTCTAGTTATTCGTTAGTACTTTTTTACTTTTTTGCCAATAGTACATCTTCTATAAACAATATGTAGTCTTCAATAAGGAGGTTTTTTTTGTTTATTCTGCCAACAGAATCTAGTTTCTATTTCAAGTATCTAGTAGGCANCTGTTTGGAGAGACTTCTATTAGCAGTCTCTAGTTATTCGTTAGTACTTTTTTACTTTTTTGCCAATAGTACATCTTCTATAAACAATATGTAGTCTTCAATAAGGAGGTTTTTTTTGTTTATTCTGCCAACAGAATCTAGTTTCTATTTCAAGTATCTAGTAGGCAGTACCTAGTTTTTGCCTGAAAAATATAATCTTTTTCTAGTAGTTTTCAGTCTTCTAAAAGCAGTATGGCCTTTTGGAAACAGTTCCTGGTCTTTTATTAGTAGTATCTAGTCATCCATTACTAGTATCTAGTTCTTCGGCAGTACTATATCTTCTACAAACAAAGTCAAGTCTCCTATGAGGAGGTTTTTAACATCTCTTGATAGAATCTTGCCTTCTGCCAATAGTATTCAGTCTTCCGTGAGGAAGATCTTCCATTGGTAGTACTTTATCTCCGCTGACAGTATCTAGTTTTTGTTTGAAAAATCTAATCTTTTGTTAGTTGCTCTATATCTTTTTCTAATTTTTGCTAGTAGTTTTTAATCTTCTAAAAGCAATATGTTATCTTCACTCATTTATTGGTAATATCTTGTTTTTCGCCTGTGGTATATCTTCTACCAACAGTATCTAGTCTTCTATGTCAAGTATTTAGTCTTCTGTGATGAAAATCTTCGATTGGTATATTGTCTTCTTCGGCAGTATCTAATTTTTCCTTGAAGTATCTAGTATTTTTCCAGTAGTAATCTGTAGATAGTTTTCTGGATACAATATTAGCAGTATGTAGTCATTCATTAACAGTATTCAGTTTTCTGCCAGGAGTATCCAGCCTTCTGTAAGCAGTATCTAGTTTTCTGCAAGTATAAGGTTGTCTTCTGGAAATTGCTAATATAGAGGATATGTAAAGACGAACGGAAGCATGATAGTGACAAAAGGAAGCTGAAAGTGGATAAGAATCTTGTTTTCCTTGGCAGTATCTTATTTCTGTCTACTATTTCAGGTATGTAGACTTCTAGTCTTCCATTGGCAATATTTATTTTTACAATTTAAGAAATTATCGATTCAAACGAACGTAATAAAATTACTCCTATTCGTTCTATTCTCGAGAAATGGTTGCAACGGTTGAATGTATTGTACATTATTGGAGATGTAATTAGCATTGAAATTTAATTGCTTCCTTCAATTTATATGATATTAAATTACGTATTGCAACTGATTCTAATACGCAATATAAAATATATATTGACAACGACACAAATTGTGCTATTAATAAATCATGGAAAATGTTTTTGAGCATTTTGGCGTTATCATCTATTTCAATTGGGAAACGAAAGATTTGAAGCAGTAAACAATTATTCAAACGACTTTTAATTAAAATTGTTTAAACAATAAAGATTTATGATGGATTTGAATCAAAGTTATGTTGAGAAATTTCTAATTATAGTTTGTAACTATAAATCAAGTATGAAATAAGTTTGAAATAACAGCTTTAATCTCAAGTTCAACTTAATCTTTCCCTCATAAACTTTAAAGTTAAAGTCTTTTCAATAAAAATCGATTTAAAATTAATTAAGAATTTACCAAAAATTTTCATTACTCTTGCTATATAATATTAAGTGAAATGAATTGAGTTGAAACGAAGAGAATTAATATAGGAGAGCTGAATTATTTATATTACATCGTTACAAAGTTGCAGTAAAACGCGTAGTTCTATTAATAACCATCAAAATCGATGAATGAAACTCGGTTGTACTCTACGAGTACGCCTGTTTACACTTTTCTCTCTCTCTAGCCTCTCTAGTAGTCTTATGCAACAATGTAGCTAGGAGAGCTGTAAATACATTCGCTTCGACCAAATAGAATTTAGTCTCTAGCCAGAAACGGTCAGGCTTACGGTCGATTCTCTACTGGTATAGTAAAATTCGTTTTGCGCCTCGAATAGGTCTTCTACCAAGTTCTACCACGTTCTACTTGAAACGCTTGAAACAGTCGCGCTTCGGCCGCTATGTGGGAGACACGTGTACGCCATGCCTTGTAATGGCCTTCAGTACGGATACAAAACGGTGTCTGATAAACTTTATGTTGCCCTAAGTTCTTTAAATAAAATTGTGAAAGTTCGCTTTGTTTTGTTTGTTGTGATAGTGGTAATAACATCGGAAATCGCTCCAACGGCGCACGCCAAGTATTGCCAAACAATAAAAGCAAGAAACAAGATAGCGAATATAGAGAGTAGCCTAAGAGGTTGTGTGGTGATCGTGGGTAACCTCGAACTCGTGCTCTTCGATAGAACCACCACAGACGATTTTGCGAAAGTTTCCTTTCCGGAATTAAGAGAAATCACCGGTATACTTCTCGTTTATCAAGTGTTTGGTTTAAGAAGTCTTGGAAATCTATTACCTAACCTTAAGTTTATCCATGGGCAAGGTTTGTTTCGAAGTTTCGCCCTTATCATTCATAACGTTCCTGATTTAATTGAGGTAAAAATAATAAATAAACCGGTCGATTAAAAATTAATACCTAATAATCCATAATATGCGATATGAAACGTTTTAATGCGCCACAAACACGATTATAAAGATTAAGCATAATAAGGCACTAAAAATTATATGCAAGAAATGTGTTAATTTATTTAAATGTATACGGATTTAAACAAGAAATAATTCTTAAACAAAAACGAGATTAATTAAAAATGGTGTAACCTTAATTAATTAATAATTTTTTCTTGTTAAAATATTTATTAAAATAATTAAGGATTTTTGTGTACATTGTGAAAGTGCTTCTATTTAACTTTAAAGCGAACACTTGATTATTTAACATTAACATCGTTGACAACCAACAATAAATTATAGTCAAGATTAGAATGTACATATTAAATTTAAATATCTACCTGGCTGAAATTCACACTCACCGCAAAACTTTATTTATCGCTGTTTATCTGGATAACGTGAAATATAAATGTATCCGGAATTTGTACCGGTTGAAATTGCTGATGAATTTTTGAACACGTCAGTGAGTTTATTGCGATAAATATTATTATTGCGGCATTTATTTGGTGTAAAGAATTTTTCTTGTTAAATCGAATCCAAACTAACTCTAAGATGTCAATAATCTTGTTTTCAGTGCTAAATATATTTTTAGAAAAGATTGGGTGATTACAATGGAGCCGACTTACAATGACTTTAGTTTAAGCTTGAAATATATCAAAAACGGTAAATGTGAATTAATTCGTGTTTTGGCTTAACTCCAACAACATAAGGACGATTTATTAAACATGATTTTTGTGCATGATAAATTGTTCATTTAAGACTCAATTTATAACCTGATCTACTTCAGTTATAATTGTATTGTAGTATGAAAATGGAAATCCCACAAAATATTAAAAATGATGATTTTTATTATTTAAATCAATTATAACTAATAAACTATAAACTGTGGAGAAAATGTTATGGATATAAATTGTTTATAATAAACTAAAAATATATAATCCATAATAATAATTAACTTATATATATTCATTTTTTAGTTAACAATTGGAAATCTCCAAAATATAAAAATTTATGGTTTTGTTTCATAAAGTCGATTATATCTCAAAATCTAAAAGTGTTAGAGAGTAATATTTTACATAAAAATTGTTTATTATAGTCTAATAAGATATAATACGTTAACAGATCTAGCTTAGTTTTAATTATGTTGGAGTTAGAAAGTGGAAATCAACCAAAACACCAAAATTGATGATTTTTGTTATTAAAATTAATTATAACTCAAACTATAAAGTGTGGAGAAAAATGTTACGGATATAAATTGTTTATAATGAACTAAAAATATATAATCCATAATAATAATTAGCTTAGATATATTCATTTTTTAATTAGTAATTGGAAATCTCGAAAATATCAAAATTTATGATTTTGTTTAATATAGTCGATTATAATTTAAAAATTAAAAGGGTTGGAGAAAAGTATTTTACACAAAAATTGTTTATAATAATCTAATAAGATATAATTTATAACCAAACCTAACTAAATTATAATCATATTCTTGTTAATAGGAAAAAATCTCAAAAATATCGAAATTGAGGGCTTTCATTTTTGGAGACAACCTAAGTTGAAAACTAAAAACGATGGAGAATAATATTTTACACAAAAATTGTTTATAATAATCTAATAAAACATAATGCATTACTAAATCTACCACAATTTTAATTATATTGTAGTTAGAAAGTGGAAATCAATCAAAAAGCCAAAATTGATGATTTTTATTATTAAAATTAATTATAACTCAAACTATAAAGTATGGAGAAAAATATTATGGATATAAATTGTTTATAATGAACTAAAAATACAAAATCCATAATAATAATTAGCATAGATATATTAATTTTTTAATTAGTAATTGGAAATCTCCAAAATATGAAAATTTATGATTTGGTTTAATATAGTCGATTATAATTCAAAAATTAAAGGGGTTGGAGAAAAGTATTTTACACAAAAATTGTTTATAATAATCTAATAAGACATAATTCATAACCAAACCTAACTCAATTGTAATCATATTCTTGTTAAAAGGAAAAAATCTTAAACATATCGAAATTGAGGGATTTCGTTTTTGAAATCCACGTAAGTGGAAAACTAAAAACGATGGAGGATAATATTTTTGACAAAAATTGTTTATAATGAACCAAAAATATATAATCCATATAAATAATCATCTTAGTTATAATCATTTTTTAGTTGAAAGTTGTTAATGGCCAAAATGTCAAAAATATTAGTTTTTGTATTTAAAGTTTATCTTAACTCAAAAATTAAAAGTGATGGAAAGAAATATTATGCAATAAATTGTTTATAATAATGTAAAAATAAATAAATAATCGGTTAATTATAACCAGATCTTACGATTTTAATCATATTGTTGTGAAAAGGTGGTAATTCCAAAAATATTGAAACTCAGGACTTTCGTTATTAAAGTCAACCCTAACTCATAAACTAGAAGCTATGGACAAAAATATTTTGGACATAAATTATTTATAATGATTTAAAAATATGTAATCCATAATTAAATTCAACTTAGTTATCGTATTTTTTAAGTTAGAAACTGTTAATGTTTAATTAGTGCTTAACTATATTTTACCTAAACTTAAATTAGTTCAAAAATATGTGAATATGTCTTATAAAATCAATCCTTCTGGTTGTTTTCCATTAAAGGGTTTTTCCAAGAAACTTCAAAGGTTTTTATCGCCCTGTGCTTGGATTATATATCACGGTTGGCATTTAGCGACTAACTGCTAATGCCACACGCCATAAAACCGACATAAACCAGGCTATAAAAGTCCAACTTCAATAACCGAACATGTAGTTGTCTTGTTAAACGGGTCTGTATTAATCGTTACGTAACAGAAAATTTTATTAGGAGATAAAAGATTATTAAAATAACAATGTTAAAATCTTCCATGCCAATTATTATACATGAATGGTCATCTAACGAAGTGTCGACGTAATCACGCCCAATAAACTTAACAATAGAATCAGGAGTATTGTCTTTGGAGTAATGCAAATTAGCTTCTTGACTTGACGAATATATTTGTTATATATTAAGCATGTTTTTAAAAATAAATTGTTTTGCTCCATTAGAAAAATTTTTAAAATAGCTATGTTAATAGTGGTTGACACAAAACAATGTTATTGTTATTTAAATGCCACGTACATGAATTACTGAATCATATCTAAATAAAAAAAAACTATTTTGGTGATAATAAACAGGAAATCGTATTAATCTGCATTGATTTAAATAGATAATTTAACTCAATTCTGAATAAATTTTCGATTATGCACTTAAAAAAGCATAAATATCTAAAAATTTAAATCAAAATTACTTCTTTTTTTTATAATTTAAAAGAGGTTGCATTCCTCAATTTATTAAAGCTGTTAACCAGTTTTAGTCGACACGCAAACGCGAGGTAAACCAAGTGTTCTTAATTATAGTGATTATTATCTTCTCCGTACTTGCTTATTTGCATTTAAAACATTTTCTGTGCTCACCATTTGAATAAAAGCACACTTTTTTTAAAAATATTCCAACTTTAATATATCTTCAATTAAGTATAACGTTTTTATATCTTGTAACCTTAGTCATCGAATCGAGTGGATTTATGAAAGTTAAATGAATTAGTAAGTGTAAATGTCAAAATGTTTACAACATAAAATGAATTATAATATAATTTATAACCGGATAATGTTTATTGTTACGTTTAATGATTGCAAATTTATCTTAACGGGTGAACTATTCAGCATATTAAATGAATCTGTGGTAGTAATAAATTCAAAGAGATTGTTGAATTTGATATTTATGTTTATAACATAGATAATTTGACCTATTTTGTGATAAGATAAAGAAAAACACTGCGACATATCTGTTATTTGACCACAAAGAACTACAAAAAAATTAAAGCTCAAATTTTCTTCTTTCAGGAAATATAAAATTTAACCGGCGAGACGATAGCAACATATAGCAACATATTTCCATCTACTTCTAGGGCCCATATCTTCGTCATGTACATATCGTCGCCGATATGTTGATAATAAGAGCAAGAAAAAATAAAAAACGTCGCGCTGCATTCAATTTACCTCAAAATTAGCAAATTTCACGGCCTTGTGCAGCCGTTACCAGACGGAAATTTAATAAATGGTTTACATATTCGGAAAGAGCTGACCTTGGACTATCTTATTCCGAGTTTTCGTCCGTCAATATCTGTCGGCGTCTGTCAAAAAAACGCTCCTGAAAAGGAGCCTACAGTTGGCAACAAACTTTACTTTTGTATTTCCTTCTATGTACTTTTCGGACGGATATCTTTGTTATTTATAACGCTACCGAAAAACTAAGCACACGGTTGGAAAGCTTGGTCGTTTTTCTATTTTAAACCGAGTTTTCGTCCGCCGATATGTTGATAATGAGAGCAAGAAAAAATAAGAAACGTCGCGCTGCCACGAATTTTTGCCGCGGCTAAACCACGCTTGGGTCAATAACTTTCTTATATGACGGGGAGAAAACTCCAGAACTATGTTCATCTTATGGGAAATTTTCTGCTCTTTTCATCGATATATAACACATCTCAATCACACGTTTGCACAATCGTTTATCAGCCCAGCAACAAACTTTTCCCTAGTATTTCCGTCTACTTTTCGGTCCAATATTTTCGTTATCTAGAAAGATAGCGAAAAACTAAGCACACGGTTGGAAAGCTTGGTCGTTTCTCTATCTTAAACCGAGTTTTCGTCCGCCGATATGTTGATAATGAGAGCAAGAAAAAATAAGAAACGTCGCGCTGCCACGAATTTTTGCCGCGGCTAAACCACGCTTGGGTCAATAACTCTCTTATATGACGGGGAGAAAACTCCAGAACTATGTTCATCTTATGGGAAATTTTCTGCTCTTTTCATCGATATATAACACATCTCAATCACACGTTTGCACAATCGTTTAT